AAATTATTTAAAAAAAGAAATTGCCAAGCTGTTATCCAAAGTGGTTGAGCCACTGTATATTGTGCCAGCTGTTTATGAGAGTTGTAGTCATTCATTATCCTTGCAAACACTTGATATGGTCAGTCTTTTTAATTTTAGTCATTTTGGTGGGTGTGAAGTACTATCTCATTGAGGTTTAAACTTGCTTTTCCCTAATGATTAATGATGTTGAAACATCTTTTTATGTGCTTACTTGCCATCCATATATCTTCTTTAGTGATGTGTCTCTTCAAATTTTTGTCCAATTTTTCTTTTATGAGAGATGGAGGGAGAGGAAGAGATAAGGCGATTAGTATTTTTGATAGAGTCTCACTATGGTGCAATCATCTGCCTGAGCTTCCCAGTTAGCTAGGCCCTCAGGACACAGCACTATGTCTGGTCTGTTTAGGTTGGGCCAGAAATCAAATCCAGGCCTCCCACACAGCCGCAGCTAGCACAGCAGCACCCTACTGCTTGTACCACCTTGGCCAGGCCTTGGCCACTTGCCCCCTCTTTACACAGGCAGGGAGAGGGGTTTGGGAGAAAAACGAGAGGCAAAGACAGGTATCTTTGGCAGAGACTTACTGCCAATGCCTCCCAAATACCTAGGATTAAAGGTGTGCACAGCTATACCCAGTGTGTCCAGGTTGACCTGGGAAGTGAACCCAAGCCTCCCATGCAGCTTTGAGTCTCCGAAGCAGTGGTGCTATCTGTGTATCACTGTAGCTGGACCTATTTTTTTTTTCTCATTTTATGTTGACTAACTAGCATAATGATGATATTTTAGACATATTGGGTCCAACAAACTACATTATTAAAATTTATTTAACTATTTCTTTCTTTTTAAAATGTGACTATAAGAAAATTTTACACTATAAAAGTGCCCCCTGACCAGCTGCAATGGGGCAGTGGTACCACAGCACTCCACAATGCTGAAGCTACGTGGGAAGGTCCTAGGTTCACATCCCAAAGTCTTCCTCAGCATTCACAAGCCAAGCACGTGAATACATGCCCATGATCTTGGCTAGCTGGGGCTGGGGTTAGGGCACAGTGTTGGGACCCTGTACAGGGATGAAGGTGGGTATGTGACAGATTATCTCTTTCTCTCAGCAGAAATAAATAAACATCAAGAGAAAAATTTTCTCTATTTTTACTGAGTGAGCAGTGCTGTCCTGTAGGACTCCTCAAGCTTTTTTTTTTTCCCACTTTCTATGTTTTATTTTTATTTTATCATTCTTATTATTTTGTATACATTCGATCACTATACATCATTTGTCTTGCAAAGAGAATTTACCCAACATGAAATACACCTCAGACCAGTCCAGTTGAGAATACTATACACATTATCATCCATAGGTAATAAACTATTACTGACTATATCCCACAAGTGTTTTGCCTCTCTATTCCCCCCTCCCCATTTCCTTCCCTATACTCGTCCTCTCTCCCACCCTCCTTCTACACTGTCTCCAGTATCCATAATTATTTTCAATGCTTTTATGTCCTCTATTATTTCAGTTTTTACTATAGAGTACAGACAATTGGCATGAAGTGGAGACATACAATATCTTTCTTTCATAGCCTGACTTGCTTCACTCAGCAATAAATCTTCCATATTCAACCACTTTCTATCAAATGCCAGGGTTTGTTTGTTTGTTTTTTTTTTCCTTATGGCTGAATAGTATTCTATAGAGTATATGTGCCATACTTTTTCGATCCATTCATCTGTTCATGGACATTTGGGTTGGTTCCATGTCTTAGCAATTTTGAATAATGCCACAATAAATATTGGTGTGCAAGCGCTTTTCCAACTGAGTATTCTCCTGTCCTTTGGGTAGATACCCGGGAGTAGAACTGCTGGATCAAATGGTAGTTCTATTTGTAGGCCTTTGAGGAACCTCCAAATTGTTTTCCACAGTGGTTGGACCAGTTTACATTTCCACCAACAGTGTAGGAGAATTCCTCATTCACCACAACCCCACCAACACTTAGCACTTTTTGTATTTTTAATCTTCACCATTCTGACATGGGTTAGATGGGATCTTGTGATTTTCATCTGCATCTCCATATGATAAGGGATGTTGAACATTTCTTCATTTTGACTGTTCATAGACCTTCCTTAGAGAGTTTTTTGTTCAGCTCATTTTCCCATCTTTTAATTGGGTTAATCTTTTTTTTTCCCCTCGGATAAGCTGCTTGAGTTCCCTGTGTATTCTGGTTATCAGTCCCTTATCTGAAGCATAGTTTATATAATATTCTTCCACTTAGAGGGTTGTTGATTCAAACTAATTACTGTGTCCTTGGCTGTGCAGAAACTCCTTAATCTGATGTAATCCCTCTTGTCTATTTTGAGAATTATTGCTTGTGTTTTGGGGGTCTTATTTAAGAAGTCTTTGCTTACCCCAATGTCTCCCAGAATTTTTCCAGTGTTTTCCACCAGTAGTTTTAGAGTTTGAGGTCTTAGGTTTAGAGCTTTGATCCATTTCGAGTTGATTTTTGTTAATGGTGAAAGATGAGAGAGAGAGGGAGAGAGTTGTCAGAAAAGTCACGACACATTTTTGTGTAGAAAAAATACATCATGACTTTTCTGACAACTCAATATATAAAACCCACTTGTATAGATAGATACACACACACACACCAATATATACACACACACACATAGACTTATAAACTGTATATATAACAAAAGGCTTGTATTTTATATTTGTATATATAATATTGAAATGTGTTTTTTCTTAATACAAGCCTTTTTGTTTTGGTTTTGTTTTTTGTTTTGTTTTGTTTTTTGGAGAGTTTCTTGTTATAGGGCATGTGTGCTTGCCAGAAAGACAGAGAGAAACAGAAAGTGAGAAATCACCCCCCAGGGGGATGGCCACCGCTACAATCCCTTATCCTCCATTCTTCTCTCAGGATCTTGGGCGCGCACGCACACACGCCCGGCATGAGTTTAAGCCACCGGGTCTGGTACTTGAACTGCCATTGACTAATACCCATTGTGCCAACTGCTGATCCCAATACAAGCCTATTTTTGATATATGTTTTGAAAATATTTTCTCTTGGGCTGTGACTTCCCTTTCTATTTTTTATAAAAAGAATTATTTATTTAATTTTAATTACCATTGTTATTATTTTTAAAATTGCTACAGGGCATGCACACACACCAGAAAGAGAGAAAGAGTGAGAGAGAGAAAGTGAGAAAGCAATTGCTGGCCTGGGACTCAAACCACAGTTGGCCCTGTGAGAGTCCGGCACCTTAATCACCATGCCACCTACTGGCCCTCCTCTTTTTATTTTTTGTTTCAGTCCATTTTAAAGTCCAAAAGTTTGAAAACTTAATGAAGAATTTTTTAGGTCAATATATTGGTATTTATCTTATATACCTTGTGCTTTTGATACATTGTTTAGGAAAAAAAATTTTTTTTGAAGAGGTTTTTGCTATAGGGCGCGTGTGCTTGCCTGAAAGACAGAGGCAGAGACAGAAAGCAAGAAATCACCCCTCAGAGGGGATGACAACCC